CACCGTGCCCACCCCACACTTCCCAGGCTCCACACCCCACCCCAGCTCCTTCACTGGGTCCTCCCGACACCAGTTAGCCGCCCTATGAGCCAACGACAGAAAACACATAAAAAGCCCACAGGGTTTGGCCCTGCCACACAGAACCCCACCCACCCCATAAGACGTCAATCTCACATGGTGAGCCACTTGCACCTCGGAATCTTCTAGGATGCTGCCTCAGAACTCAGGGAAACATGTCACTATGGCTAGTGGCATGTCTATAAAGGAGACTGTGAAGGATGACAGACAAACAGCCACAGGGACATGTAGAACAGTCAGGAAGGCTCCAGAGGACAGAGTTTCTGGCCTGTGCACTTGGGAATTTGCAGCACCAGTGTGTGCTCTCAGGCCTGCAGCCTCTGAGCTCTTTGGCTCACCCTGTGGGGACAATGGACTCAGTTGTGGTCCTCTGTCTGTATGGACTTGTCCTGGAGGTTAGGTTGCAGCAGGGATTCCTGCCCCACCAGCAACTACAGCCCCATCCCAAGGATACCTGGGGCTACTGAGTCCCCCTCACTTGCATAGGCTCAGACAAAGTCCAAACAGCCTTGTGAAAAACAACACAGCCTCCTCCCATCTGAGAGGCTGTGCCAGGAGGCAGGAAGACTTAACTGTATCAGCCTGCCAAGCCCTGTAGAGGGCTCTAGCCCTTCCTTAGGACCCCAGCTCTGCCTGGGGCTTTCCACAGCGGGCTGGGGGGATGAGCACATGGACACAGGCCCCCTGTGATGCTGAGTAAGGCAAGAACGCAGAGCTGCCTGCTCTGTGGTCCACTTGCTCCGGTCCACTCTGGTGCCCTCCAGTGGCTTTCTTCCAGACCAGCAGCTGACACAGTAAAAATCCCTTCTGAACTCAGAGGTCTGGGAGGTCATTGCCTGGCTGCTCCATTTAGGAGAGTAGGGAGCCAGCCAACGCTGAGGGTGTGGTGGTATGAAGAACTGGGAGACGCAGGGGACTTTAAAACATATTCATTTTATTCCATGTCTACGTATGTATGGCTGTGTGAGTTTATGTGCACCACATGTGTTCAGAAAACTTTGGAGGCCAGAGGCATCTAATCCCCTGGAACTGGGGTTACAGAGGGTTGTGCGACACCACGTGGGTGCTGGGGTTTGAACCAGGGTCCTCTGCAAGAGTAATATGCACTCTTGACTTTGAAGCCACCTCGTCTCAGATTTTTGAGAGCGATTTCATAGCAAGATGTGCAAGTGAATGCTTTCCCTAAGGGGCTCCCTGAGAGCCTCTTTCTTCCCTAGGGGAGCCGGCACAGGCCCACCCCAGACCGCCATGTGGCAGAGGAAAGGGGTCCCTCCCTCTATGCATTGCAGGGTCTCTGCCTAGAGAGAGAAGGATGTCCTGGAGGGGCTGACGTCACTTGGGGAAGGAGGGAAGAGAGTAGGACCTAGATTCCGTAGATCACCTGGACAGGAGAGTCCCAAAGGCTGCTTGTTTCCTTTTTTCATTTAAGATTTGATTAGGGATTTTTAAAGCCTGCATGTAAGCTGGTGGCTTAGACAGATCATAGGCCCTGGAGTAGACCTGATACCATTATTCCGCTAAATGGACACAGTATTTTTTTTTTTTTTTTGAGACAGGGTCTTTCTGTGTAACCATGGCTGTCCTGCTGCTCATTAAGTAGACCCGGCTGTCCTTGAACTCACATCCCTTGCCTCTGCCTTCTGAGTGCTGGGATTAGAGGTGTGTATTTATCTTTATGCCTGTAGATTAGTGCTTCTCTCAACCCTCACGGAGAAGCTTCTTCTGCAGTGGATGGCCTTCATAACGGCACTGTGACAACTTGTTTGGGGCGTACAGTTTCAGAGTGCAGGCCGGCAAGGAACTGGAGTGGTGGCTGAGACACGAGCGCTAACTGAGGATTAGCACGAGCTTTGAAACCGCAAGGCCTGTTCTTCCAACAAGGCCACACCTCCTAATCCTTCCTAAACAGTTCCACCAACAGGGGACCGAGCATTCAGATGTGTGAGCCTCTGGGGGCCGTTCCCACTCGGACCACCACAGACACACCAGTCCTCAATGGGACATCCGCATCACACCTCCGGTGCTCAGGGCTCGTCCAAAAGGAGTTTGAGAGCCAGAGGTTCTGGGTGACTGTGAGGGAACACGGCAGGGTGTTTGCACATGTGTGGGATCCCAGGGGCTGTGGCAGCGTGCACAAGACCTAAGTAAGCTTCCTGGTAGAACCCGGAACTGTTGAGGGATATTTGTTTACACTGTGTGAAGATGTGTTGCTGTGCCTGGTTTACTAAAGAGCTGAATGGCCAGTAGCTAGGCAGGGAAGGACAGGAGGGACTTCCGGGGTGGGGCTGGGGGACTAGAGAGGAATCTAGGCTCACAAGAGAGATGCCAGCGAGAGAGAGGGAGAGAGAGTCGGATGTACAGAATGGAAGAAAGGTAAAAAGCCACACGGTAGAACACAGGTTATAGAAACAGGCTACTTTGAGTTATAAGAGCTAGTTGGGAACAAGCCTAAGCTAAAGGTCAGTCTTTCAGAATTAATAATAAGTCTCCATGTCATTATTGACAAGAAAGCTTACTACACAGAACTTTCTGCCCAGGTGTGGCCCCACCCACAATGGACTGGGCCTGCTCACACCACACACTAATTTTAAAAATGCCCTACAGGCTGGTTTACAGCCCTACCTTCTGGAGGCATCTTCTTAAAGGAGGTTTCCTCCTCTCCAAAGATTCTAGCTTTTTTCTGAAAATCACTGGCTGGCCTGGTAATGTCACTAAATGTCCTGGGTGGGCCTAAAAACTTAGTGATCCTCCTGCCTCAGCTTCCAGAGTGCTGAGATGCCAGGCAAGCACCAAGCACACAGGAATGACAAGCTCTTTCTGGGTGGCTGAATAACACCCAATCTGCAACTGTGTAAAGTGTTAACTTTTCCCCCATTCGTGGGAGCCTCTTCCTGCAGTGCGAGCCAGCCCACAGCCTGTGAGCTGAGAGCATTGATTGCCTGCAGCTCCCCAGGCCAGTGTACCTGTGTGCAGCCATGGGTGCACCTGACCATCTGGACTCTAAAGGTCTCACTTCTCTGGGGACAAAGGGACACATCCCAACAATTATATAAGCGTCTTAATTGGCTTTAGTTTGGAGTTCTGGAGCCAGAAATATTTCAATGTATAAAGCAGACGGGGAAGTCCCATGTGTTAAGCAAGGTGGGTTTATAGGTGGAGGGAGATGAGGGGCAGATGGGGGATAGTCACTTCCAAGTTACTGTCAACACTTGAACCTAAAGCTGGCCCCCGGAAGCCCCTGTTCTCGAGCCGAGCTGTCGGGTTATGGGAAGGCTGCATCCCGAGGGTGCCAATCCGTGAAGGGTTTGTAATGAATGGACAGCGGGGAGGCTTTGGGTCAGGTGAAAGTGCTAGCGAATCAACCCTCTCTCCCCTAAGCTGACTCGATCAAGGCGTTTTGTCTCAGTGGTGGAGGGATGGCTGATAAGCGCACACCCACCAGGGTGGTGGAAGCTAAAACAGTGTTGACATCAGCATGAGTGATGGGATCATGGGAGGGCAACAAGAGCCAGACGGCGCAGGGGGAGCACCGAGGAGAGCACCGGGGGAGCGCCAGGGGGAGCACCAGGGGGAGCGCCAGAGGGAGCACCGGGGGGAGCACCAGGGGGAGCACCAGGGGGAGCACCAGGGGGAGCACCAGGGGGAGCGCCGAGGGAGCACCGGGGGAGCACTGGGGGAGCACCAGGGGGAGCACCAGGGGGAGCACCGGGCAAGTTCTGCACAGCAGTTTCAGCTCCATTTCTGTGGCTGTGACAAGAAGACAGCTCAGAGGAGAAGGGGCTCATTGTGGTCCACAGTTCCACGCTAATCAAGTCGACATCCAGTAGGAATGCGCAGCTGGTCACATCCAGGAGAAATGAGTGCAGGCATACTCGCTTGCTCAGTTGCTCATCCTCAGCCCAGTTTCTTCTCACTCCTACATACCAGTAAGGATCCTTCCCCCAGGTAATGGTGCAGCCCACACTAGACTGTGTCATCCCACAGTAATTGGCTCACACAAAGCCAATCCAATGCTGTCAATCTGTCTTGAGACTCTTTCTTTCCTTTCGTTTCTAGTGACCTCTAGAGAAATGAGACCTGGGGGTAACCTCTACTTTCACAAGTGGGCATACACATGTGCACACACACACACACACACACGCAAGATACATATGCACACACACATGCACGCACACACGCATATATACATATGTACACATGTACACACAGATACATATGCACACACATGTGCATGCACACACATACATGCACACACACACAAGATACATATGCACACACATATGCATGCACACACATGCATATATACATATGTACACACATATGTACACATGTACACACAGATACATATGCACACATATGCACGCACACACACACACTTTAGTCATAAAGGAGTTGGGGAGGCATCCACTGCCCAGGACCCAAATGAGACACCCTCACAGGATGTCCCCAAAGCACTGAAGCCAACCCAGGCCCCGCAGGTCACCCTCTTCTGCCTGACTCCTGGTCCCTCATCCCCTGCTTTGACCGACGGAGCATCTACTGATGCACGTGGAGTCTACCCACGTTTTTTCCTCCTTACAGATGCTGGGTGTCTCTGCCGCTGTGGCCTGGCACAGGTTCAAAGCTTTCTGGAGGAATTGCTGCTCACTTTGCCTCTTCCCTCTCCTGCAGGTGCCCGCCTGTCTCCCGCTGTTGTTCCTTAGCACCTGAGTCCCAGCCTGCAGGCTCTTCTCAGGGATGCTCCTACTCCGGCTTGCTACCCATGGCTACATCCCACTCTGTCCTCTGAGGGGGCCCTGGGCCAGGGCTGGGCTGTGGGCTCGTTACTGCCCACCTTCCCTGTCCCCCAGCAGCCAGTACACTGCCCTCCGAACACTGGAGGAAGACAGCAGCACCTCCTGCATGAACGAGCCAGCATGGTGAGAAGCAAGTGACTTTAATGATTTCAGATTAGTGATGGAGACAGACTGAGCTACCCACAGGCTCATAGAACCTGCTTGTGCCTGTAATGGAGCCCTGGGGCTTCTCAGCGCCGGAGAGAATGCTGGCTGAAACCCAGTAAAACTTCAAGCTCAGAGAGACAGTGGATGCTGGCAGAAATCTGGAGGCAGATTGCTGAGAGTGGGGGACACATGGTGTCTGAGTCCCCAACACTGAGATGGACCAGCTAGACCAGGTCAGTGGAGTTAATCAGGTAGAAGGGGCGGATGACCACTCGGAAGCTGCTGAAGGCCCCCGAGGTGCAGGGGAAGAGGGAAGAAATCTTGGAACTGTTGGTATCCAGGGCACTGGGGATAGGAGCCTTACACCCTGCAAAGTTGGTGACATCGACCACACTGTGCCCTCCACAGAACATCAGCGCCTTGTTTTCATAGCCAATAGTAGGGTCGGAGTAGCTGGACGTGGTGAGGCCCAGCACAGGGAGCTCGTCAGAGGTGCAGGAGAAGCCATAGTCCCAGCAGCTCTGGACAGTGGGGAGGTAGGAGGCCGACCAGGAGGTCAGCTTGTCCTTGAAGAGAAAGCTGGGGTGCTGTGGGGTCTGGAAGGACAGGTAGGGGTCGTACCGGCCTCTTGAATCATAGCCACGTGAGCGGTACTGCTTGTACCCATACACTTGCACACCCTGTGACCTTGAGGAACGGTCTGTCACAAAGGCACTCCAGGTTGAGGAGGTGTAAAGCCGGGGCTTGTAGCTGTCCTGGGTGAGGTTCAGGCCTCTGTACTTGGCCAGTACTGGGAGGGGCACAGTGTGGAACTCCAGGGCCTCTAGGGTCTTCCTTTGGAACAGTGCCTGGTGAGCCTGGTACAAGGACAGGTTGAACTGCAGCTCAAACAGCTCCCGGGGCAGCATCATGGGGAAGCGGACCTGTTCCAGTAGGCTCTCTACCCCCTCCTGGGAGGCGCCGCCGCTCTCTGTGTTCCACTGATCTACCGCCTTCAGCAAGTCCCCCTCGCTGGACACGGCCAGCTCACTCCTGGGGAGGAGAGCCTGGAGCAAGGTGATGGGGACGCTTGGCCAGGCCTCAGCCTTCGTCAGAGACTCAAAGTTCCAGGCCAGGAACTGCACACACAGGTCCTCCAGCACAGAGTCTCTGGTGGCCTGCGCATACGCATAGAGCTCCAGGGACGTGTGGAACGTGGGGTCCTGGGGCAGGAGGGTGGCGAAGAGCCGTCCGCAGTACTCTTGCAGCTGTATGGCCCCGTAGGCAGAGGCTAGCTTGTGCAGGCACTTGACAGAAGACGTGGAGACCTCGATTCTTCGGGAGTAAAAGTACCTGGGGGTGGGGGTGGGGTTAGGAATCTGAACCCTGCCCTGACAGACAGCAGGACAGCGGGGGAGTTTGTCTGGCGTACTTTCCCACACAGCTACCTATTACACCTACACCACCGACCTCACGCCAGGGTGCTGCCACGGGTGGCCTCAATCATCTCGTCCCCACACCAACGGACAGCAACTTTGGGGCGTCAGGCCACGGGGTGGACAGTTGCTGGCCGTGAATGACACAGCCACTACTTTCTTCCTCCTCTGTAAACGTCTTCACCTGAGGGTTCCCACCAACATCTCCTGGTCGCTCTGGTGTCACTGTGAGCCTTGGACGGCAGAGGCCTGGACATGGGACCCTGCTGAGGTCCCTATGGGTACCTCCCTGTCAGGTGACAATGGCTCTTTGGTCACCTTATTTCTGCTTCCCTGGGACTAGGAGCCACGTGAGGGTCTGAGCCTACCAAGTCCAGAGTGACGTCCCCCCTCTTTATGCGAGGGTCCCTGCCACTGACTTCACGGCTCCCCAGAGGTTGGGATGGCAAGTCTCTCCTCTGGGCTGACTCACACAGCCCGAAGTGGACCCTTCCTAAGATCACCTCACAGGGAGGGCATGGGACAGTAGATGCTGCCACCAACCTCCCCCTGCTGTTGAAGGAGGGTGACCAGGAAGGATTGTCACCAGTTTCTAATCTTCATCCCACACCAGAGTGGTCCCTCGGACTGCCGGCGGTTATTTCTAAGTGCCAAGGGAGGCCGGGATGCACCAGGGTTCTTATGAGTGCCTCTCTGTCTCCATGTCCCTCCCACGCCCCCCTCATCAGGGCCCAGTCTCAGTTTCCAAAAACCAGAGTGGGTCTCCAAGCCCTGCTCAGCTTTTTCAAGTAAAAACCACACATATGCAAAGAAAGGCCCAAAGCCAGCATCAAATAGTGACAGCGAGCGGGAGGGACCTAGGAGGCTGCTATGTGTGTCTGAGTGTGTGCATGTGTGAGAGTGTGAGTGTGTGAGTGTGTGAGTGTGTGCATGTGTGTGTGAGTGTGTGAGTGTGTGCATGTGTGAGAGTGTGAGTGTGTGAGTGTGTGAGTGTTGTGAGTGTGAGTGTGTGCATGTGTGAGAGTGTGAGTGTGAGCGTGTGTATGTGTGTGAGTGTGTATATGTGTGTGAGAGTGTGAGTGTGTGAGTGTTGTGAGTGTGTGAGTGTGTGTGAGAGTGTGTGAGTGTGTGTGAGTGTGTGTGAGTGTGTGAGTATGTGTGACTGTGAGTGTGAGAGAGTGTGTGAGTGTGTGTGAGTGTGTGTGTGACTGTGAGTGTGAGTGTGTGAGTGTTGTGAGTGTGAGAGTGTGTGTGAGTGTGTGTGTGAGTGTGAGTGTGTGAGTATGTGTGACTGAGTGTGAGAGAGTGTGAGAGTGTGTGTGAGTGTATGTGTGTGAGTGTGTGTGAGTGTGTGAGTGTGTGTGAGTGTGTGCATGTGTGAGTGTGAGTGTGAGTGTGTGTGTGTCCTCAGAGGGAAACCAGAGAGGGGTTGGGAGAGGGAGGGGGAGGGTGAGGGAGAAAGAGAGAACAGGAGCCCAGACCTGGGGCCACAGCTGGGTGGGGCAGGCAGGGGGTTTGGGAAGGCAGGGATGGCATCCGCCCCTCCCTCCACGGTGTCTTAGACACAGAATTCACCAGGAGGACACAGGCCCCCCGCCAGGTTTGCTCACTAGGCTGGGAGCAAATAGTTCTTATCTGGGTTTAATTGCCAGTATTGTTCTTATAAATGTCACGTTCTGTTATGCAAAGCTTCATGTCATAAGGACGGAGCGAGGATAATTTTTAATAAATGTTCTGTTATAAAAATCACTGTTTTCAAAATGCAAACCTCAGAGTCCTCCTGGGTGGGGAGCCTGTGTAATCTTGACAAGGGAGGTCGGAGGGGAGCTGGGGCAGAGGCCGGGAGGGCTGCGGCCTTTCCTCTCCTGTGTCAGTATCGTGCACCCGAGCTGACGGAGCCAGGGGTAGTCTGTGAGGCTCCTCAGAGGGACGCGTGTCCCCTCCTCCCTCCAGGCAGTTTTAAAGTCATGGCTCCCTGCCGTTCTCTAAGCAAGACCAACAATGTGGGAAGGAGGAATTCTATGCTGAGGATGTCAATCAGATGCTCAGCAGCTACCAAGTCTGATGACCTGATCGATCCCCGAATCCACATGGTAGAAAGGGAGAAGCTACTCCTGAAAGTTGTCCTCTGACCTCTACATACGTCCTGGGGCCCCACACAGACAAACACACAGGAACCTCACACTGTAACCCTACCATCCCTAAGACACATGACATAGAGGGTCACGTGTGCATCTTACCTACGGTCCATTCCTTCCTAAGGGCCCTGGGGGTGGGAAGGGAAGCCTGGAACGACATTCCCGTCTTGCTGTAGGAGCTCCCTGCTGCCCCGTTCCCACCAGAACTCCATTTCCATGTGCCCTCCCAGGTGGCTCACATGCAAACTACAGGCCAGTACTCCATGCTAAAGTCATGGCCTCAGCATACCAAAGCCTTCTTATACGAGTGAATGGTGATTTGGAGTATTTAGAGTTCTACAGTGAAAATGCATGTATTCGTGTGCACTTAATGTGGGTGAGCGTGCACGTGTGCACACCAGTTCCGTGTGCGTGGGATGCTTGTATGTAAGGGTGCTCGGGTGGTCTGAATGGCCCCATAGGCTCACATATTTGAACATGTAGTCACCAGGCAATGGGACTATTTGAAAGGATTGGAAGGGTTAGGGGTGTGGTCCTGTGGAGGAGGGGTGTCACTGGGCGGGGGGGGGGCGCTGAGGTTTCAAAAGCCCGTGACAAGCCCAGTCTCTCTCTGCCTGTGGATCAGGATTTAAAGCTCTCAGCTACCGCTCCATGCTGCATGGTCCGCTGCCACCGCCATGGTGATGACCTAAACCTCTGAAGCTGCGAGCTGGCCCCAGTCAAATGCTTGTATTTGGCAAGCTGCCTTGGTCTTGTGTGTCTCTTCACAGCCACAGAACAGTGACTGAGATATGTAGACAAACAGGCACATGTAAAAGTAAGGTTCGGATGCGTGAGCGAGCGTGTGTTTACACAGGTGTAGGAAGCATTTGGATACATCGGTGTGCGGGCGTGCCTGCCCAAAGGTAGTGAGTATTCAGATGTATGGTGGACGGGTGTTCAATGCTTCCATGGAAGTACAGGGAGCATCTGGGTGTGGGTGTGTGCTCACACGTGTGCAGCAAGCGTTCAGATGTGTGCCTCCACCTGAGGTGGGAGAGCTTGCCGTCATTTGTCTGCCGGTGCAGGTAACATGCAAGTGCATGTGTATGGGTGTTGCACAAGTGCATGTTTGAGTGCGAGGGGCAGATCTACCTCCTTGCCACCCCACCCCAGCACAGTGGATGCTCTGGCAGTAGAGAGGGGCAGGGGGTGCGCAGCCCAGGCACTCGGCACTGGAGCCAGCCGAAGGAAGGCTCGGCTTACCTGAGGAAGTCTCTGACCACAGGAAAGCAACCCCCGTCCACTCTCATGATGACACTGCGGCCCACCGCTTTCCACAGGGCCTGAGCCTCGGGGTTGGTGTTCAGGATCAGCTTGTGGGCACAGAAGGTCAGATCCTCATGCCCTTGTCCTATCACCTGGATGAACAGGTCACAGCCCTGCTGGCTGTCAAAGATCTGGCCCAGCGCATCAGGGAGGTCTCCGGAGAGGTCCAGGATGTGGACGCCTCCTGTTTCTGGGAGAGACAGGGAGTTGCTGTGTGAGGGTTTGGATTCTGCGAACTATTTTCTCTGACTGCAAGCTCCACTTAACCATGGGGAGTCAGGTTCTTCATGTGAACCAGCCATTCTGGTACCTGGCTTTGCTCAGAAGCGCTTGGGGGGGGGGAGACGAGGGATGGAAGTGCAGCTGCCCTCTGCATTTCACGGAACAGGAGTTAGAAAGGGTAAGAAGGGTTAGGTGCGGCCTTGTGGGAGGAGGCGTGTTACTGGGGTGGTTTTTGAGGTCTCATAGGAAGGGAGGGAGAGGGGTTAGACCCTGACCCTAAGTCTATGTCCATCCTTTACAACCCCAACAGTAGCTGCACAGGCCGCTCTCCCACGCCCAGTGAACAGCCTGAGAAGTTGGAGTTCCATGGCAGCCCCACCTTAGAACTCGGGGCATCCCAGTCCTAAGGGACAAGTCCTTGAGGGGCTGTGGCATGCCTCTGGGCACCCCCACTTTTCCCTGCCTCCCAAGTCCTAACCCAGAACCCATGCCCCGTCATCGGTGGCCATATAAGGGCTGGCTCGATTTTGACGTTTAGAATGGGTGGGCTGGGTCCCCACGTCTCCTCACACTGAGGCCCCGGTACCTTCTTAACCCTCTTAGCTTCCTCCTCCAGTCTCCTGTTCACAGTTTTCTCCAGCCAGAGGGGCCTCTACCCTCCCTCCTAGAAGCCTGCACAGCTCGTCCAGTCTGAGCCGCCAGCCCACATCAGCTTGTCTGACCTCGTGGGATTCAATACCCTTGTTCCCCAACTCAGGAACCCACGGCTAGCCCAGGAGGAAGCCACAGACGGGGGCCAGGAAGGAAAGCTCCCACTGAGCCTCAGACACGGGAGGTGCAGAGTTGGAACGGGGTCAGGGTTTGGCAGGTAGGGCTTTGGGCACCAGTGCCCCCCCAAACAGCCATTGAGAACTGCTTTAATGTTGCTACCCCCAGGGGTGTGTGTGTGCGAATAGGGTGTTGTGCAACATGTCAGAGCAAGTAATAACTACAAGACACTGGGCTTCAGAGAGCCAACCCTCCCTCACCCAGGTGCCACCTGTATCTGGGATACAGTCCCTTACCCGGTATCACGAGGGGCCCTCTTAGAGGAAGTGACCTTTCCATGCATCCCACACTCAGAGCTCTGATCTCAACTTCCGTTTACACAGGGGTGCTGGGAGAGGCTGGACGCAACCTCTGCTTCATTCAGGTGCTGGGAGGGCAAAGGGCAGCTCACCGTTGGAACAGACGACGCCTGCATCCTTCTCGTGCCCGCAGCGACTCTTCAGCCAGCCCAGGGAGCTGCAATTGGCCAGCGAGCGCTCTGTCCCTGTACACTCCACCTCGTCCAGCATGACAGGTCCCTTTCCTGTGGGCACAAAGGGGGGCCAGGGGTTGCACCGGAGAAAGAACTGAACGCTTGTTGGAGAGAGCAGGTCCTGTAATAGGGCCGCTCGCTGAGGCGGTAGGGATGTTTGAGGGGCATTAGTAAGGACCTCAGCTTCGGAGGGGGGTGGGAGGGATGGCAGCCACACCTGGCCCGAAGGCAGCTCTGCCCAGCGCCCGAGTGGCGTTCTCATAGCCCAGGGCCCGGCAAACCACGTTGGCATCTAAAATGTTCCAGAGGTTGTCACACACTGTCCCCCACTGGCCTCTGTAGAAGATCTCCACGCGGCCCTCACTGGCTGAGGCTCCATTAACCAGACGCATGTCCCCATCTCCTGCACCTGTCAGGAAAGTGGAGGTCAGCTGGGAGGAGGGCTGGCCTGTTTGGGCGCCGCTGCCCAGGACCTCGATGCTCTGTGCTGTCCTGCTGGGTGAAGGCTACCCCAACTCGGGTGCAGTGGCCTCCTGGGGTTGAACCACTTCTCTGCCCCCTCTCTGGGTGTGAAAAGTTATCCACTCTGTCAGGGTGGACCCCATGGAGGCCATGGCCTTTCTAACTCTCAGCTCTGGGCCTTTTGCTCCAGAAGAGCCACCCCAGCCTGCAGCCCCCAGGGAGATCTGGGAGGGGAGGTGGCCCCTTGCTGGCCTGAAGGGACAGGTGGCCCCTGGGCCCCTAGACACAGGCAGAGAGCAGATGCACCGAAAACATACAGCATTGCCCTAAAGCAGACAACGCTGAACCACAGACAGTCTGCACTCAGGCAGGGCAGCCAAGCGGCTCCCACTCCCCACTCTCCAGGGCCCCCCTCTCTGCCAGAGCTCAGAAGCTCAGCAAGTATCTGGGTGCTTGAATCTGGGGTCACCCATGCCAAAGAGTGGCGTTCAGCTGAGGGTGCAGGATGACCACCCCCAGGGTGCCCCGAGGCCACCCATTCTAGGATGGCACAGGCCCCGCACTTCCTCCTTGGCCCACCGATGAGATGGAGGTACCTTGGCATTTCTCCACGACCTGAGCTTCACCGGGCCCAGAGGAGCCCGAGGGCCCTCATACCACCATTATTTGGGATGCCTGGGGGTCCCCATGGAGAGAATTCCGAGACATGGCACCTCGCAGGGTGTCACGTGGGTTCTCTGCAAGGAGGGGGTGACCCACAGAGGGAAGTGCAGCGGCCTTGGAGACCTCTGTTTTGGACGTTTCCCAGTGGGCATGACTCACCTTGCGTTCCCGGAACCAGCAGCCACAGAGACAAGAGCCATAGGAGCGCCATTGCCGGGCCTGGGAGCCCAACCCTGCAGCAGAATGGACAGCAGAAAGAAGCTGGCAACAGCTCTCCCCTGCAGCCTAGCAGCCCGCGTCCGCTCAGCCCTGCTTGTGGAGGACAGGGCAGTTTTGTGTGCAGCCTCTCCATGGCCAGGTGGATGAGGGCTCCTGGCAATGAGGACCCAGGAAACAGGAGGGGCTGACCCTAGGGGACGGACAGGGTGTAAGCCTGCTCACAGCTGGCCTTATCCCCGGCAACAGCCCCCTGCATAGTGTGCATAGTGTGCAGTGTGGCCCAGAGGCACAAGGTGTGCCAGTGGAGGAAGGAGCTGGGGATGAGGTTGCTACAGGGGACCCTCGGGAGGGGAGTGACAGAAACAGTGCACGAGGGCCCAGGGCTCCAGTGCTGCGAAGTGGGGGTGGGTGCGAGGTGTGAAGTGGAGAATAAATGGGAGGGTGGGGATGGGTGGGAGGTGTGAAGTGGGGTGGTGGGAGGTGTGAAGGGGATGGGTGAGAGGTGTGAATGGGGATGGGTGGGAGGTGTGAAGTGGGGAATGGGTGGGTGGTGTGAAGTGGGGTGGTGGGTGGTGTGAAGGGGATGGGTGAGAGGTGTGAAGGGGATGGGTGGGAGGTGTGAAGGGGATGGGTGGGAGGTGTGAAGGGGATGGGTGGGAGGTGTGAAGGGGGATGGGTGGGAGGTGTGAAGTGGGGTGGGAGGTGTGAAGGGGATGGGTGGGTGGTGTGAAGGGGATGGGTGGGAGGTGTGAAGGGGATGGGTGGGTGGTGTGAAGGGGATGGGTGGGTGGTGTGAAGGGGGGATGGGTGGGTGGTGTGAAGGGGATGGGTGGGTGGTGTGAAGGGGATGGGTGGGAGGTGTGAAGGGGATGGGTGGGTGGTGTGAAGGGGATGGGTGGGAGGTGTGGAAGGGGATGGGTGGGAGGTGTGAAGTGGGGTGGGAGGTGTGAAGGGGATGGGTGGGTGGTGTGAAGGGGATGGGTGGGAGGTGTGAAGTGGGGTGGGAGGTGTGAAGGGGATGGGTGGGTGGTGTGAAGGGGATGGGTGGGAGGTGTGAAGGGGATGGGTGGGAGGTGTGAAGGGGGATGGGTGGGAGGTGTGAAGGGGATGGGTGGGTGGTGTGAAGGGGGATGGGTGGGTGGTGTGAAGGGGGATGGGTGGGAGGTGTGAAGGGGATGGGTGGGTGGTGTGAAGGGGGATGGGTGGGTGGTGTGAAGGGGGATGGGTGGGAGGTGTGAAGGGGGATGGGTGGGAGGTGGGTCCTAATAAGCCTGAAAAGCTCTAAGCAAGTGGGCTGAGAGGGACTCAGTACTTAGGCCACGGCCTAAACTCCTGCCTGTCTGTGTGCTGTCCCCCACCCAGGCACTGTCCCTCAGCCTCTGCAAGGATGGGGATGACCACAGAGCAAGGTGCAGCAGGCCTCGTGACACCCACTCTACCCCCAGTAGTCAGGGGGCTTGGTTCTGCCTGGTGGGCGGTGCTGTTGTGAGGGCTCTACCTACTGGGCAAGAGCTGGTGACCTCAATGGTTTTTTTCTTTTTTCTTTTTAATTTTATTTTTTTTACTCAGACCAGGGGCCCAGGGACAGGCAGCAGAGATACCCCAGGGCCAGTAGAAATACCAGGATTGCTCCTCCCCCTCCCATACCCCTGACACCCTGAGCCAGACGCTTCTGCACTAAACCAGCATGAAGGACCTCAGGGTCCCAGCCCACTTGTAGCCATCCTGGCAGGGCTGACAGTGTCCTAAGAGACTTGTGCCCTCCCTTTGGCTATCAAGCTACTGAAACAAGGCGCCCCAAGGAGCTGGAGTTCCCCTAGGAGTCTCATGCTGAGAGGCAAGGGCTGAAGGCTGGTGACGGCTTCCCCAGGGCACCGTGTCTCCAAGAAAGAGATTTGCAGCCCAGGCAATGACCAGGTCAGCTTAGTTTTGCACACCTCTGGCCCTCCATTTAAATCTAAACCTCATGTTAGTACCCCTAGTGGACTGGAGGGGGAGGCCAGATCTGTGTACATCTTCTCAATGTGGTCCCATTAGATAAAGCTCCTTGCGTGGCTGAGCCCCGTGTCGGGGGAGCTGTCTGGGCACAGACTCTGGCCATCTCGTCTCGTAACGCATCTATGGGTGGGAAGCTCGTTGCTATGCGCCCTCCCTATCACACTCAGCAAGTTCCTGCCAGCCTTCTAAGCCAGCCATACAGTAACACAAGATCCCAGAGCAACAAGCAAGTTCACGCCCCCGAGTGAGTGTGCTGATGCTAGAGAGCCAGCTGTGTCCAGATCACACAGCTAGTGAGCCCCAGGTTGGGGACGTCTGCCCAGGGGTGGCCACCTTGTACCACACAGACCCTGGCAGAGGCAGAAGGAGACGGGGAGCACCGCATCTGTGTGCGGAGTGAGACATCACCCCAGTTTAATCCCAGGGAACCTGTGTGGTGGAGAAGCTGCGTCCCAAGGCAAACTGTACCCGATGCCCATCCTTTCCATTTACTATGAGCTGTGGCCATAGGTGTGTCTGTGCTGGGTCAGGAACTCTAGGCCCTGGGAGCATTGCAGGTAGATGGATGTGGTTGTCCTCTGGATGGCAGAGGATGTTTCTGCATGTTTGTGTGGGAAGTTGGGACAAGTTTGTGCTGGCTCATTCAGTACCTCTGTGGTGGTAGGTACAGCCCTGGGCCAGAGTCTACCGACTCAGGAGAGGGCCAAGGGCTCAGTCTTAATACATTTCTCCCTGCACATCTAGGAGGAGGACCATGGCTCCCATGCTCAGTGGCCTCCCAGTGAGCTGTAGAGTGGTCACTCACCTGGAAGCAAGAGACAAGGACCAGCTGTCTGTCGGGGCTGAAGACGGCCCCAGGGGGTCTCCCTGCTGGCTGCAATCAGAAGCTTTGCTGCAGACTGCTGAGAGAGCACCACCAAGTGGGTTTCCTCAGCCTCAGTCCCAGGAAATGCTTTATAAACCTAGTCTGGTTTCGGTTTCCAGAAAACACATGACAGAGGCCGCTCCTGGGGTTGGCTGCAGACAAGGAAGGCTAGCAGCTATGTGCTTACTAGCTGCTCTGTTGGGGGTGTGGCAGGCATCCAAGTGCCCTATGGCTGAGCAGATAAAACAGCAATGTTCAGGCACCTAGGCTACAGATATGTTTCACCAAATTCGTGTCCAGGCTGGCCAGGCAGGCGCCCTGGGGGCTGGGGGGGAGGGTGGGAAGGCAATGCAGGAGGATCTGAGAGCAGAGGCTCAGGGGAACACACTGTGTCTATGAGTGTGGATGTGGGCTGCACAACCTTTGCCTGGACCTGGGGAAGCTGGCTGCGCTCATGCACTAACCTACTGAAGGGAAAAAGGGCCAGCCAAAGAAACATCCCCAGCAGAGCCAAAGAAACTCACGTCCACCCTGCTGAGCAGAGTCAAAGAAACTCACGTCCACCCTGCAACCAGAACCAAAGAAATGCACCCCAACCCTGAAACCAGTGCCAGAGAAACACACTTTGTCCCTGGAATCAGAGCCAGTGAAAGAAATACACTCTGGCCCTACAATTAGAGCCAAAAGGGCCAAAAAGGACCCGTGAAAGAAACTCACTTTGGTCCTGAAACCAGAGCCAAATCTGACCCTGAACCTGAGCAGAAAACCAACCAATCCCTGAGCACGAGATCAATCCCCACCCTGGAAATCTCCCTGGAAAAACTCTGCCCCTAAGAAGCCCTAAACCCTGTGCCTGTTCAGCTTTTGGCTGTCTGGCGGTCCTCTGCCACCCTGGCAGAGTTAAGCCACTCTCCTGGATTCTTCCCTCCCAATAAATCTCTTGAATGAGGTTTGGGTGAGACCTTCCTCCCCCCCCCCCCACCTCAATGGAGCAGAGGAGAGAAATAACAACTTTCATCAAGCCAGAGCAGAGTGGAGCAGGGCTGTTAACACTTTGCTGGGGGAAACCTTCCCCCAGGGATCTGAGCTGAACTGTAAGAACTTCTCCCGGAAGCCCTCCCCTGCCAGAGCAGAGCTGTTACACTGGGGAAGCCTTTCCCTGAGCAGCTAAGCTTACTGTGACTGTGGTATTCCTTGGCTCCTGATTGTCGGAATACATTTCCATCAGAGCTGTAACACTCAGTATTCTTTGGCTCCTGATTGCCAGAATCCATCCCTGCCCATCCCATCTGTTCCGCAGTCGAAACACTTACACTTACTGTGTTGGGAGTGTAGGTATGTGGGCCACTGAGTAGGCATGGTTGAGAGACAAAAAGACCAAAATTAGAAAGCCGGGTTGGGAGCTGGGGGTGTTTTAGTGGATAAGAGTGTGGCCTGCCCTTACAGGAGACCTGAGTTCAACTCCCAGCACCCATGTTGGTTGACTCAGAACAGCCTGTAACTCAACTCTAGGGGGATCTGACACTTCTGGCCTCCGCAGGCATCCACACTTAAGTGTGTGCATGCATACACACACACACACACACACACACACACACACTTTAAAAAATTAAATCTTAGCTGGGTGTTGGTGGCACATGCCTTTAATCTCAGCACTCAGGAGGCAGAGGCAGGTGAATCTCTGCGACTTCGAGGCCAGCCTGGTCTACAGATCTAGTTCTAGGACAGGCTCCAAAGGAATACAGAGAAACCCTGTCTCGGAAAACAAAAACAAGAACAGCAAAAAAATTAAATCTTAAAAGGTTCCTACAATACTTAGTTTAAAGGGGAAAAAAAGTTAGGGCTAATCAAGCACCGTGGCATACAGCTTTAATTGGGAGGCAGGAGCATGTGGATCTTGTGTGTTAGAAGCTAGCGTGGTTTGCATGATGAGTTGCCGCCAACCCTGATGATATGAGTTTGATCCCTGCAACTCAGTGTAGGAGAAAAATCACTCCTGCAGTTGTCTTCTGATCTCAGCATGTGTAGCATGGCACACGTGTGTACGCACATGGTCACAGATAGTAAGTAAATGTAAAACGTTAAATAAAAGTCAAAGGGCATTGGAGAGATGACACAGTGGTTGAGAACACTTGTTGCTTGTTACTCTTGCAGAGGGCTCAGTGGGGTTGGGTATAAAACACCGGAGTTTCCACCTGGCTCACACCCATTCCCCTTCTTCCACAAAACAAACAAAAAGCCCACACCTTAGTTCCTACTTGGGGAGTTCTCTACCCGGTGCATCTCAACCTGGGCTGACCAGGATTACCTGTGACAGACACCAATGTCCACACAAGCATGTGGGAGAGCTGGCGTTTTAAAAGCCCCAGGAAATTCTGATGTACAGCCTCTTTGAATTTACCCCAAAGCTTTGCGCCCCAGAACCTAGAGGCCAGAACTCAGTGGCTGGTTCTAGGGGCTGTGGGGCCCTGCAGTCCTGGGAAAACCATGTGGAGAGCTATAGGCAGACATGTCTGCTTGATGAACTGGGAGCTAGCTGGCTTGTGGCTTCTGTCACCTCGGATGAGACTGGGAAAGGGGGGATGGGGTGCTGGCCTGCCTGGTGCCTCCAGCCCCGGTCAGCCCTGTGCTTCCCACGGAGGGAAGGATGCTGGGTCACAGAGACAGGACCGTCACAGGGTGTGTGGTCCGTAGCAGGTCCAGTTGCTCTGCGGCCACTCCAAAGCCAACAGATTGGCGTTTAATGGATCCAGACATTGCAACACAGGGGGACTTCCAAAAGGCCAGACACCAGGAACTTGCAACTCCCTCCAGCCACTCCTCGATGCTTCTGGAGACACAGAGTAAATGGGAAGAAGCAGCTGAGGGGACAAAGGTCCCTCCCCCTGCAAAGGTCACTACCCTGCTTAGGCTTCAGTTGACCAGAGCAGGGTATCACAGTCTGGCTGTCCTGGTCCTCCCAGGCGGTGCTTATCTTTAACACCAGGGGCCTGGAGGTCACGAAGGTCTCTTCAGGATAAGGCCACGGTGACCTCTAGCAGACCCCAAGTCCCCTCCCAACGCCGTGCACAGTACATGACAGAGCCTCAATGCCAAGACAGCTGTGAATCACTGACCCCGGCACAAGAGAAGGAAGGCACGGGGCCTCCCACACCCAGCCTCAGGGGCCAGGGCCCACTTCTATGTTCTCTGGCCACAGAATAACCCAGGTTCTCTGTTTTCAGCCCTGAATGCTTACTTAGGGTAACAGGGTGAGGTGTGACCAAACAGCCTGTTTAGGGAGTCTCTCGTGAAAAGGGCAATACACTGGGAAGTTCCCTTCCTTGTGCTTTGGAGTGCCCTCGGCTTCAGCCTGGGGACTTCTGTGCATCCTGGGAGGGCCATGCTTTCCACACACTCCAGTGTCGTTTGCCAGCAAACTTTGCAGGTACCCTCACTCAAATGACTGGCATGTGGGTATCATTAATGCACATGCTGGTCTCTGCAGCCCTGACAGACCACAGCTGGACAGTTCAGGAGCCAGGGCCAGATAGTGAGGGGCCAGTGACGGGCAGGACCCTACCTTGACCAGGCCTGTTTAGCGAGGCATAACTCTTGCCCTCTACTTAAACCTAAACTGTGTATCAGGAACACAAAGATGTGCAAGGGAGTCATTGTATCTCTCTTGTGTATGAGTGTGAGTGTATGAGTGTATGTGTATGAGTGTGTGTATAAGTATGTATATTAGTGTGTATGTGTATATGTGAGTGTGCATGTATGTGTATGTGTGTATGAGTGAGTGTATGTGTGTATTAGTGTGAGTGTGCATTTGTATGAGTGTGTATGTATGTGTGTTTATGAGTATATGTGTGTATGTGTGTGAGTGTATGAGTATGTGTATGTATATATGTGTATTAGTGTGTATGTGTATGTGTGTGTATGAGTATTAGTGTGTATGTGAGTGCATGCATGAGTGTGTATGTATGTGTATAAGTGTGAGCGTGTGTGAGTGAGGTGGCACATGTCCCACAGGGAGGCATATGAAGATCATAGAGCAGCTTTGACAATGAGTGTCCTCCTTCCCCCCTGGGTTCTGATCACCGGTCTGTCGGGTGGGTTCTGGGATCACTCGGTCTGTCGGGTGGGTTCTGGGATCACCGGTCTGTCGGGTGGGTTCTGGGATCACCGGTCTGTCGGGTGGGTTCTGGGATCACTCGGTCTGTCGGGTGGGTTCTGGGATCACCCGGTCTGTCGGGTGGGTTCTGGGATCACCCGGTCTGTCGGGTGGGTTCTGGGATCACCCGGTCTGTCGGGTGGGTTCTGGGATCACTCGATCTGTCGGCTTTGTGTCTACACTGAGCCACTTTGTTGGTCCACACTGGAGTTTTACTTGTCCCTCTGCCTGATGTGGCCACACTGAGTCAACCTTTCGCTGCTATCCACTGCGGACGTTTAGCCACCAGGTCTGGCTTGTGACTGCTGTGGTCCAGGCTCTAGCCCTTCAGGCTGCTCTGACTCCGGGAATAGGTAGTGTGGGGAGATGGCGTGGGACAGAGCCTGAGGAGCTGGACGCTGCGCTTCCCGTAAAATCCAAGCCTGGAGACGTGAGGTGCCCACCTCAGGGCCTTTCCAGGCAGAGCCCTTGGCAACAGTCAACACAGACAAGAGAAGCACACTCCCCTGACACTATTGTTTAAGAAACTAATGGAGGGAGGAAAGGGAAGGGAGGTGTGAAGGCTGTGCTGCCTTACTTCACGTCCACACTGACTTCAGGGCGTCTCGCTCTCAGCAAACACAGCAAGTACACAGATGTCACCATCAGGCTCCCCGGTGGAAGGGGTCTGTGAGGGCTATCAGGACCCTCTGCCCGCAGCAGCACCGTGTCCTAGCCTAAGAGCGTTGCAGGGTCAGTGAGGACCCGGAGAGAGATGCTACATGCCCTCTGGGAGCCAGCAAGACTGCAGGGGAGGGCCGGGAGGGCCTCTAGTCAGAGCCAGAGCCACGGATCCCTCAGCCACGGCTAGGAGGAAGGACACACAGACAGCTTGTGAAGGCAGAGGCCA